AGGAGTTGGAGGTTGCTGTGAGCTGTGATGCTACAGTACTCTACCCAGCGGGATAGCTTAAGGCTCTGTCTCAAAAAAAAAAGGGGGGGGTGCCAAAATGTAACTCAGCTATAACTAAACACACACACACACACTTGCATAAACATCAGAACTGTGCAATAATGGTGACCGAAAAAAATATTTTGGATTAAAAACTGCCTCTTATTCATCCAAAGGGCTGGCATGAGCTTGCCAGGCACTTTCCCTAGTATTAGGTAAGGGTTGGCATGGTATTTTCATAAAGTCTAATAGCATCTGTTTTAATATCAGAACTAAGCTCAGTGTCTCAATCCAAAATTGCATAGAAAAACAGGGAGAAAACAAAACAGCCATGGGGTGAAACACTTTTCAGAGTAAGAAAGGAAGGCTGGAGGGTGGGCTGGAGATCCACGCACCCACTCTACACCCCTAATAAAAGGCACATGCTGTCCCATCACCAGGAAGAAGCTGTGAACCACCACCATGAAGAAAGGAAACGTGGAGGAGAAGCTAGAAGAACTTGCAATGGCCCAAGGCCTTCTCCTGGGACCAAGAGCCACCCAATAAGCCAGCTGAGAGGACTTTCAGGGGGCTTTTGGAATTGACTCACCAGAGGGACCCCATTTGGGAAAATGGCCCAACAATTAGGACTCTGGACAATCCAACAGGCACAAGGGCCTCATGCAGCAGGGGCCAGAGTGGGGCAAGAGGCATCCTTTGCTGTACTGCCTGCCCTATATCACACTAAAATGAGTGAGTAGATGGTAGGCTCTTTGCTTATTTGACAGGTTTGGTCTCTCCATTAGCCATTCTCCATTTCATTGACTTGGATGTTGGGTGCTTTCTCGAGACCAGCCAGTTCAGGCCTGTGGTTGCTAATGTTGAGGCACAGCATGGGACTCCCGGCCTCCATGTCTGTTTCTGTGCTGTGGATAAACAATTTGCAAAGTGCCTCTAGACACGCTGTCACAGCAGCCCCCTCAGCAGCCCCACCAGCCAGGCATTGATGCAGAAACAGAGGTAGAAGAAAGCTCCTGGGTCACCTAGCTCGGGCAGGCAAAAGAGCCCACATTTGCACCCTGCCCTCATGTCTTCTTACACATGCTACCCTAGTATCTGGGTGCTGGGAAAGGAGGCATTGCACAAATGTCACAGATGGGCTGGGTGCACATCAGAAGAGCTGGCCCATCCACAGGAAGGAGGACAGGGTGCCCACCCAGCAGGGTCTCAGGGACTCCCAAAAGAGGAAATTCCCTTGCAGCCAACAAATGCAAAGCATAGTGGGATACCTCTGTAACCACAGCTTCAACATCCAGCTGGGACAACTGCTGAGAACTGAACAAACTCTATGGAGATTCTGAGCAGACTGGCTGATTTGGTATGCAGGACAATTGACTCATAAAGCAGGCGACCTCAGTTCCCAGTGCACTGAGCCAGTGTTCCCTGAAGCCACCTCAGCCTAACGTGCCAGAGACATTTTGTTAAGAAGATCACAGACTGGAATAGGAGCACCAAAAATAATTAATCTGTGAGCAGGTTTTATTTAAGTGTTGATTCATGGTTGTTCTATAAGCCAACAGCCTGTCAGAACTACAAATTAACGAGATAAAATGTTGCTGGCCCTCCATATTTCAGGCCGGGTATTGACATTTTAGAATCCACAGATTTCTAACTGTATTGATTGAGGACACCAGGATAAATGGCCTTGGCGCCAAATTCCCATTAACGACAATGGGCACCGAGTGACTAATCCCCAAAGCACTGCGGTAAGAACGCCCTGCATTGCCTTCTCCTGGCAGGGAGCTCTAATTAGATTGAAATGAAAAAGCCAAATCACCAAGGGTGGGAAAAGGCAGACCAAGTAAAAAGGGAGATCAGATTCAGTGAAGAGAAAGGATAAGTCAACACAGGACAACAGCAACAGGGGTTACACAAACCCACCCCAAACTCAGCTAAATAGAGCACCCAACAAAACCCAAGCTCAGATGGGGTGTTCAGGGATGGGGTGGGAGACAGGGGTGGAGTACTCCGGCATACTGGAAGGCCCAGCAAGAGCCAACCTCCCATCCATTTCATGCACACCTGCACCGAGCAGCTGCTTCCAGCCATCCCTGGCCAAATGGCAGAGACACAAAGTCCAGCACAGGCCCTCTCCTGAAGGAGCTCCCATGCTAGTCAGGGAAGGGACACAAAAATCAGCAGGAGAGGCCCTGTACAAAGGCTGGAGGACATCCTCAAGGCTGTAAGGTTGAAACCCCTCAACTGTATCTCCTGGGGACTAAAGATGGACAATATACCCTCCACTAGCCTGGTCCTGCAGGCAGGAGTTGTGCAATAAGCAACTGCTTGCTGAGTGAATGAGACTGGGGCTGCAAGAGATAAAATTGATGGTGAGTAGCATTCCTAACAGAAGAGTGCAGCAGAGAAGTCCTCAATCAACACCCCCTCCTCAGCTGGATAGCGATGCCCTGGAGGCCGAGCCATGCCTTTCTTTCTGTGCGGGGGCACCCCCCCCCCCGCCCCAGTATCACAGCTGCCCTCTAGATCCAGCTGCCCAAAACACAGACCAAGCCATGATTCTGCTGCTCCAAACTCAGCAGCAGCCTGCTACTACCACCTCCACCTGCTGTGGCAGTCCCTGACTTGTCAGGCAGCAGAACCTTCTTTGAATGTCTAAAATTTCAGAACCTCCCCAACATGCACGCACTCACATCCACCCCCACACACAATGGCATGTGTTTGTTTAACATCTGTTGATTAAGAAAATAGATAATGACAAAGGGCCACTATGAACCCATTAATGTTGCCAAATAGATTTGATTTGAGTAAGCCAACAGCTCACCCACGTCTGAAAGGCAATCGCACAGGCGTAACTTGAGCTCACTTGTCACTCTGCAGGCAGTGTGGTACTCGCACGGGCTCACGTGGCCCACAGGCTAGAGGTTTTCTCCCTGCACTACTCAGACGTATCTCCCCTGGGTCCCTGAGCCCCCATTACACACTTCTTTGGTCTCCACACATACCACATGTTATCCTGTGTTCCTGTGGCAACTCTTTCCTTGTCATTCCATCTGTTAAGAGCCCACTTCCCTCCCCCTCAACCACACCTCCTCCACCCTAATTCCCTGTCCATCTAATTCCTGGCTCAGCTCAGGTTTTACTTCCTAGAGAAAGTTTTCCTGGCTTTTCCAAGCTAGACATTCTCACAATTCCTCTATCTTGTTCCATCTCAGCAACTGGGATATTCTCTGCACTTGTGACTCTCCCAGCAGACATGAGCTTCTCCAGGTGAGCACTGAGTCTCTTCAGCTGTACTAACATACCAAACACATCTTATGGGATATGCAAGCAACAGAGTGTAACAGCTGGGTGACAAGCTTTAGATCCTGACAGACCTGGGTGCATCTTGGCTCTGTTACTTACTGGTTCCTGTCCCTGGGAAAATGTGTACACGGGTGATACTGACACTGATGGGTGAGTGGGGCCTCAATAAGGCACTGTATGGAAGGCCTGCACACAGTGGGTGCTCAGTTCTCAGTAACTGCTGCTCTCATTGTCAGCCTAGTCATCACTGCCGTCAGGTAGCACCAAACTCCCCAAGCCTTGGGAACTTAGCAGGAGGGGTAAGAAGATCAGTGAGAACACAAATGGATGATAAATACTTCAGGAGAAAATGTCAAACACTCATCACTGTGGCAAGGGTACAGGCTCTACAGCTACACAGATATGCATCCAAATTCCTGCCAGCCATGCAACCATTGGTAGGCAATGCACAAGTTACTTTATCACGCTGAACTTCAGTTTCCTCACCTGTAAAGTGGACATAATTGCTGCCAGCAGCTGCAGTGATAATTAGGCATGTTGTGTACAAATCCTGTGGCAGGGCCCCAGGCACCTGGCAGGAGCCCCATGACCACCAGTCTTGTTACTTGCCCTATTCAGCACACATGGGGCTTGAAAGCTGCCCCTCAGTGGCCCAGAAGGAAAGGAGGACACTTGAGGTGGAAAAAACCCTCACAGTTACCCCAAACCACCTGTATTTCCTCTCTGCTCTTCCTTGGAGTTGCTGGTACTGGGCTGCAGGACCCTATAGTCACCACCTTCCTCCTCCCAGACCCTAGGAGAACCAGGCCCCAGAGCTACCACCACAGGGCCAGCCATGCCACTGCTGCGCCAGGCAGGGAAGAGGGACTGCTCCTGCCCTTGGCAGTGGAGTCCAGCTGAAACATGATTAAGGATCCCTAGGGGTAGGAAGGTGATATGGCACTGAAAGATGCTGGGACTGAGAGTCAGGTGGTATGAGCTTGGATCCCAGCTCTGTCCCCCCACCACTCCCCACCCTCCTGCCAGCCATTCTTCCTGAAAATCCCCAACAGGACCAGCCGGGGGCTCCTAGCAATGCCTGTTGCACAGGTGTGCTCAGCAAGGGAAAGCTCCTTCTACCGACTGCTCTCTCCTTCCCGCCCTGGTTGGCACGAGTCCCCTCAGGATTTACCCAGCATGAATCCATCCTACCCAAATCCCTTTTCAGTGTGGGCATTAAAGCAGAACTCGTTTGAAGACTTTCCTTATGAGCTGGAATCATTCCTTAGCCTTTCAACGATAATGAATTGACAGGAATTCTAAACTGATTCCAACCAAAGGACACAATGATAAAGTTAAATCTATTTCAGTACAAATTGCATGTCAGAAGTTGATTAAAAAGCTACATCTTTATCCAGCCCTACAGCTTGGGGCTAAGACAACCTTGGGGCTCTGTCCTCTACACTGGCTGATACAGGCCCATCTTCAACCCTCTGTGGGGAATAGAGGTTCCAATAGGCAAATGATCTGGAAAACACTCTCATAGGCATGAGCCCACCCTGAGGTCCCCTCTCTCTGCCATGAAACTGCATGAAGCTTGTAATTGCAAACCCACCAGAGAATCTCCAGTGAAAGAGGTACCAGCTTATCTCAGGGTATAGTGACACAAAGAAACGCACCTGTCTCAAGGTCTGTTAGGTGCAGCGCAAAGTCGAAGCCACCACTGAGGATGCGCCGGCCACAAGGAGACCACCGGGCAGCCCGCACTGCCTCACTGTGCAAGAAGTAGGTCTGCAAGCAGCACCCCGAATCCACAGCATTCCAGATCTATAAGACAGATACAGAAAGCACCAGAAATGACAGGTTAAAGTGCCTTTTAAGCAGGCTGAGGAAAGATTTAGGCTCTCCACACCCTGCGGGGTTTGAGAAATCAGCAGAGGCCTCCAATCTCCATCTCGTGTAGCTGTATCAGCATTGTGATTAACATCTCATACCCTAGAAGATTACCTGTTGCCCAGACAATATTCAGCAAGATATATATTTACTGCTTTGTTTTTTGTTTTGTGTTAATTTCAACATTTTTCCTCTAGATTTTTCTTCTTTTTCTTTCTTTCTTCATTTTTCTAGTTTAAATATAATTTTCCATTGTTACCTTCTTTAACAATTAGAACTTCATTTTTGCTAGTGTTTCCACCCCTATTATTTGGTTTTTTCCCCCAATTTTATCCTATGAAGTTTTTTCTGTTTGCCTGTTTTGGTTTGATTTATAGCATTTTTGTTTTTCTTCTCTATTTGGTGGAGGTGGGGTACTGTGTCCAAACAGGCTGGCAAAGAGCTGCTGACCTCAAGGGCACCATCCAATCTGGCACCCCCAGAGGTTGATAGTTTTTTAAGGTTGGGTCAACGCATCCTACTGTACACCTCTATTGCTCCTGTCTCCCTCTTTCCATGACTCTCTCCTTTTTGTCAATATTCCCTTTTACTCACCCCCTCTCCTTTCTCTTTTTTTTTTTCTTTTTTTCCTCCTTGCTCTTCAATCTTCTCATCCTTCTGGGACTATACCAAAAGGACTCATCAAAACCCTACTCTTTAACTTAAAGAGCAAGAGGAAGTGAAAGGAAAATCAGGGCAAAGAAATAGGTAAAAGAAAACACTCATGAGGAAAAATCAAGAGAAAAATCCTGGCAACATGAAAAATCAGTCCAGAGCAACCCCCCGCAAGGGACTGTGAGATAGCTACTGCAGAGGATTCCACCTATAAAGAAATGTTAGAAATGACAGAAAGGGAATTTAGAATACAGATGATGAAAACAATGAAGGAAACTGCTGATAAAGTAGAAAATAACCAAAAGGAAATCCAAAAACAGAATCAAATAAGAGATGAACAATATGAAGAATGTAGAAAGGATATAGCAGATTTGAAGGAATTGAAGCAGTCAATTAGGGAACTTAAAGATGCAATAGAAAGTATCAACAACAGATTAGACTATGCAGAAGAAAGAGTCTCAGAGGCAGAGGACAAAGCTCTTGAGATAATTCAGATACTTAGAGAGGCAGAAAAGAATAGAGAAAGCATAACGTTCACTGACAGAATTATGGGACTTTATGAAGCATTCAAACATATGAGTTATAAGTATTCCAGAAGGGGAAGAAGAATGTCCCAGGGGAATGGAAGCCATACTAGAGAATATTATAAATGAAAATTTCCCAAATATCACCAAAGATTCTGATACACTCCTTTCAGAGGGATAGGGGAACCCAGGTCGCCTCAACTCTAACAGAGCTTCTCCAAGACACATTGTGATGAACCTCTCCAAAGTCTAGACATAAGACAAGATTCTTCAAGCTGCCAGGAGTAAGTGTCAGTTGACCTATAGGGGCAAATCCATCAGGGTGACTGTGTACTTCTCTAATGAAACTTTTTAAGGAAGAAGACAATGGTCATCTACCTTTAATCTACTTAAACAGAACAACTTCCAGACCAGAATTCTATATCCTGCCGAGCTGAGCTTTAAAATTGACAGAGAAATCAAATCATTTACTGATATACAAACATTGAGGAAATTTGTCACAACAAGACCAGCTCTATAGGAAATGCTTCAACCTGTTCTACACACTGATCATCACAATGGATCAACAGCAAAGTAAGATCTCAGAAACTAAAGGACAGAACCTAACTTCCACAATGATGCAAAAAATAAAACTAAGCAATAGACTCTCACAAAATAAGATGAATAGAACACTACCACACTTATCGATTATCTCAATAAACATTAATGGCTTGAATTCCCTACTGAAGAGGCATAGATTGGCTGATTGGATTAAAAAACACAAGCCATCCATTTTCTGTCTGCAGGAAACACACCTCACATCAAAAGACAAATTAAAACTCCTACTTAAGGGTTGGAAAACAATTTTTCAGGCAAACGGAATTCAGAAGAAAAGAGGAGTTGCAACCTTATTTTCAGATACATGTGAATTTAAAGCAACTAAAGTCAAAAAAGACAATGATGGTCACCTTATATTGGTCAAGGGAAAAATACAACAAGAAGATGTTTCAATTCTAAATATTTATGCACCCAACTTAAATGCTCCCAGATTCTTGAAACAGACCTTACGCAGTCTGAGCAATATGATATCCCCTAACACCATAATAACAGGGGACTTTAATACTTCTCTTAAATGGCTGGACAGATCCTCTAAACAGAAATTAGACAAAGATATAAGGGACTTAAATGAGACCCTAGAACAACTGTGCTTGATGGACACATATAGAACACTCCATCCCAAAGCTAAAGAATATGCATCGGCCCATGGAACATTCTCCAAAATTTATCATATCCTAGGACACAAAACAAACCATAACAGAATCAAAAGAATTGAAATTTTACCTTGTATCTTCTCAGACCACAAGACACTAAGGTGAAACAAAGTGTTTTAACTTTGTTTTAACTCCAACAAAAACATTCAACCCCACACAAAGGCATGGAAATTAAACAAC